ACACACACACACACACACACACACACACACACACACACACACACAATGTGGCAAGCCTTGTACGTTACAAGCACAGTAAAAAGGGAGCTGCAAGAAGGAAAAAAAGGGTACTCCGAAGGAAGCTAAAGTAAAGATAGCAAAGGAAGGACTGTACAAGGAAAAAGGCAATATAACGGATTTATTGTGCTTCATAGAGGTAAAAACCGTAAAGCTATAAAACTGTTCCAATGTTGGGTTTGCTTCTCTTTAGTGAGATTTACTGTGTTTCATTGTCTGCTATTGAGGTAAAACTGCTTCAATGTTTTATCTCCTCATGTAGGTGAAAAAGGGGCCGTTGTGGTGACAATTTATAACACACACATACACACACAATCATATTATCTCTGACTCCTTTCTTCCTCTCCATCTATAATATGTTCTTTTAAATCTTTATTTTGTTTGCTTTGTGCACACTCGTCTTTTGCAGGTGTCTCCTGTGTCTCAGTGAAGCACATTAAGGTGTGCCAAATAGTCAGTGCCTTTTTTGTTACGAGTGCCTGCAACTCTATTAAAAGGCCTGCTGTGATCAGGATGCCTGTGTGTCTGTCTGTTCCCTGGTGATGGCGGGCATTCGTCAAAGTGATTCTGCGACCCCGATGGGGGCGCAAACCTAAAGTCTGTAGAGTTCTACTTGTGGTGTGAGTAGGTGATGATGATCTGCTTTGTTCGAAGCTATATGTGTCCAATGCCTTGTTGGTGCTTCCAGACTGCATGGCTTTCCATCCATCTGCCTTTTGTTGCCTTGCTACCTGGTGCTCGGCCTTGCTACGGGCCTGCCCGCTTGCCGCCTTTTCCCCGCTGCGCGCCTGCCTGCTTGCTTGGTTGCCTTGCTGTCTGAACGATTGCCGCTTTGCTGCCCTGCCGTTTGCACACTTGACTGCTCGTGTCACTGTTACTTATCTTGTTGCCTTGCTTCCTGTCTCGTTGGCCCCCTCCACATTCCACCCACTGCTTTATTGCTCCCTGCTGTGCCCGGCTGCCTCTGCTGTCGCCTAACTTGTCTTGTTGCCTTGGTGCCGTGAAGAGTCAGTGAGAGTGCGATGAAACAGTTTGTCATTAACCCCTTGTGTCCTTTGTTTGTTGTCTTTCCTGTATGATTTGTGGTCTTTGTTAAGTATCCATGTTGAAGACAGCTGGGTCTTGTGCTGAGTTGTACACTGATGTGGGAAACTACGTTTCTGTGTGAAGCTTGGTCATCAAGGATTTGATATCACATGCGCATTCACTCTCTCTCTCTCTCTCTCTCTCTCTCACACACACACACACACACACACACACACACACACACACACACACAC